CGCGCCGCCAACCCGTCACTCAAGGCGCGGGAGTCTCGCGCGCCGAGCGAGTGGGCGGGGCCCGCCGGAAGAGGAGAGGAAGAAAAGTTAAGACTTCAGGGAGCTCCGGCGCTGCTGCTTCACGCGCAGGCGCATGCGCGCTCACACGCACTCTTTCTCTCCCTCACCCATCCACCCTCGCGCCGTCCAAGACGTTAAAAAAATGTGGGGGCGTGGATTCTCTTTCCCATTCTGGCTGGGAGAGAGAAAGCTTGCGGCACCTTCTCTCCTTTGCTGGGAATTTGCGCCCGCGGACTACGTTCCCCGGCATGCACCGCGCCGGGGACCGTTCGACGGGTTTTAGCGCGTCGCGGCGGTCCCTCAGGTTTCAGGGATCCTTCCGCCAAATTAAAAAAAAAATCCGTGACTATGTTTGATCTAAATGAAATTTTTTATTTAATCTAGAGGCCCAATTCGCGGCGCTTGGAGCAGCCCGAGGCTGAAAGAGCGGTTTTAGGTCTCTTAAAAAAAAACTGGGATAAAAGGGAGCCGAGTGGGGGGCGGAGGGATCTTAGAGAGAAGGTGGCCGTGCTGCGCCGGTTCCTGAGGAGGAGGGGGGGCAAGAGAGAGGGGAGAGGATGAAGGTGGCCGAGTGGGGGTGAAGGGGGCAGGAGGCTCTAGGGGGGACCCCCCCTGCCCGTTACCCTGCTTTTCCGTGACAGGTCAGTTTTGTCTGGTAGGGGGAGGGGAGAAAGAAGAGCTCTGTCCTTTACTTGTGGGGGGGGGTATGAGGTGAAGAAAGCGAGAGGGGGTAGGTGTTGTGAGGGAAGGAAGGGGATGAGGTAAAATTGGGGGCTTGTGAGAGGGGGGGGAAAGAGGAAGCCACTAGGCCTCTCGGGTCTTCTCTGCCATTTCTCCCCCCCCCCATGAAGCTTCCAAAAATCCAGGGCCTGGTATCATCCTATTTCCTCATTTCCCACTTTCAGAATCCCTCACAACCCCCCTTACCTCCCTCCCCCCCAACCACAAAAAAAGATCGTACCCTGAAGGAAGAATCTTCTGGGCCTACCCGATTCCCACGTGCCTCCTTGTTTGGAGGAGGAGCTCCTGTCAGACACAGCTTTACTTCTCTGTAAAATGAGAGTTCCCCACTTTTATTTATTTCTTATCCCCTCCCCAAGTAGGCCCTATATAACGTTTCCCCCTCTCTTGAGGTTTTTTATCGTCAGAACAACCCTGTGAGATAGGTTACGCTGTGGGGAAGAATGAATCTGATCGATTCAGAAAGCTTTGTGATGCAGTCAAGGGGGTTGGATCTACATCTCTTTAGCAGCCAAAGTCCACACTCCGGTATAAATTTTTAAAATGTTACTTTGGTTTTGCAGGGACCATTTTGGTATGATGAATTTTGTTGTGTATGCATTATTGTTGTTCTTATTATTATTGATTATTGATTATGATGAACTGCAGAGCTGGAAGGGACCTTATGGATCATTGAGCCCTGTCCCTGCCAAGGAGGCTCAGTGGGGAATTGAACTCCTAACCACTGGCTCCTCAGTCAGATGCTTAAACGTTGGTTTTGCAGGGACCATTTTGGTATGATGAATTTTGTTGTGTATGCATTATTGTTGTTCTTATTATTATTGATTATTGATTATGATGAACTGCAGAGCTGGAAGGGACCTTATGGATCATTGAGCCCTGTCCCTGCCAAGGAGGCTCAGTGGGGAATTGAACTCCTAACCACTGGCTCCTCAATCAGATGCTTAAACCACTGAGCTATGCAGCAGTTCATCCTACTATTTGTAATCATGGCTTTAAAGTATTTTAATGAGATAAATGTTCACCAGGCTACAGTACATCAATTCTCAGGTTTCTATAGTTTTATACAGTAGTTGCTGCTGAAAATAATTTTTAAAGCATGAAATAAAGTTATTTATAGAGTTGTTTATTTACTGCCCCATTAGTGCAATGCACTAATATCGGCGGTTTGCAACAAGTAGAATAAGAGATCGATTTTTTAAATGTGTAAAACAATAAAAATATAAAGCCACCAAAAAGCAATAGTAAAAGGCACTACCACTGTACATGTTTCAGAAGGAATGAAATAACAGGTTCCTACCCCCATTGAGCCCTCAGTCTAGAGGATAACAGCACAAAAAGATGAACTGTAAACTGTATTAGAAGACTGTTCCATTTTAGTTAGACCACTAGCATGCATGTTTAGTAGTCCTACTTGGGTGTTGTTGTCATAGAATGTTGGGACATTGATGCTGTGGATCATACGTTTGGTAGGGGAGTCAGGTTTTGTTTTGTTTCTTTTGCAGTGAGATACAAATAGAAGTTTAGCATTTCTCCATTTTGCTATGGAGCAGTGTTGACGTTCTGTGTAATTATGTTTTTCTTGTATCTGAAATCTTTGTTCATTTTTGTATGGTTTATTTTGAAGATTTGAGGATGTGTAAGATTTGTGACTGCAGATCAAAGACCTTATGCTGAAATTGATTTTGTTTTTTCTGTGTGACCCTTTTGCCTTTCCAAATTTAGTGGTTTTCCTGGCTGTGTGCAAATTATAGCTTTTTGGAAATTTAGTAATAATAACAATAATCTTTGAACTGCAGAACTGGAAGGGATCCAATAGATCATCGAGTCCAGTCCTAATCAAGGAGGCACAGTGATGAATCTTAACTTCCAACTTCTGGCTCCGCAGTCAGAGATCTAAGCCATACTTCTAAGTTATATAGAATAGATAGTGTGGTCAGCCTGGATGACACCTAGCACAGCTAACAGGTGTTTGTAACGTATCGAGATAGGAATAGATAGAACTCATATATGATCCTGGCTGTGCCGTAGTCAGGCCTTCTTCTGATTAAGCTTCAGTCAGTTTTGTATTCTTTCCTTGCTTTGTGTGCATTCTTCTACTTGTTCCCTTGTTCTTCTGTGAAGGTGAGAAACAAAGCCACACAGAGAGAGGAGGTTTCTTGTATCCCTGATGTAGTGCCAATTCAGACTTCCTGTAGCAATGTTCTCTGGTGTGGGGCTATTTCTTGCTGTGGACTTCATGTATAAACATGATTGCTGCAGGCTCTAATGCAAAATTAAACAAAATTCAGAAAAAGCACCATATTATATATTTATTGCCACTCTTACTGCTCATTTGTTTTGAATCTTGCTGTCCTAACTTCTTTGAACAGGCTTTCTAATCATGGCTGTTTCACACTCTTTCCCCACAAAGTAGAAAAAATCAATATTCAAACATCTCCTTGGTATCATTTATATGTTGTTGGGATGAGAAAACAATTATGGATCACAGCATGTATCCCCTCCTGAAAGTTATTGAGTTTAGTTAATGATCAGGAAGTGAGGAAGTTCTGGAATTGCGAGCAAGGCACCCCAGGCAACTGTCAGTGGAATGTGTTCGCTTCCAGCAAGTTGTTTGTGCATAGAACTGAAACAATATTGAGCTCTTATGAAGCAGTCCAGTGAAATGTCTGAAAGACCACTTTCCTCGCATATAAACCTGTCCATTAGTTAAGGTCTTCATTGAAAGCCTACTCTGTGTGCCCCTCCTCTTGAGACTAAACAAGTGGCAATTAGGAGAAGAGCCTCTGGTGGCACCTTCCTTGTAGAATGCTTTCTGCAGCATTGCCAGTTTTGAGCTGCAGTCGTGGGCTCTGTTTCCTGACAGTCATCTGGGTTGAATGCTATGGGACGTGAATTAAAATATATAGAACTGGCAAATTTCAAAGAGGTTTTATTGATCCAGGTCACTGAATTAGTCTCCCTCTCCCTTCCTCCCTCCATCTCCCTTCCTTTCCCACTCCCGCTTTTATTTATTTTAACTTTTACAAGCTCTGTGGGCTGTAAGGTTCAAAAATAAGAAAAATGTGTTTTAAATAAATAATAAAATTAGGAAAAGTATGGAAAGTAAGGTGGTGCTTTGAGTGTTCTGGATGACATGTGGATAGTCATCAAAATCAAGCCTGTTCTCCCCTGGTCATTATGCTGTATAAAATTGGCTAAAATAAATGTTCTTGAAATATTGTGGCAAATATCTATTGAGCTTCTCCTGATTGGAAAACCCTTCCAGCATTGTAGTGAGGATCATGCCTGTTGTGCAAGTATTTTTGTAGCATAAGTAGAGAGTGAGTTTTGTTCATGGAGATCACTTTCTTGTGTAGTGGTGCCATGTGTGCAAGTGGCACAGTGTCTCATTACTACCTTGGCAGTGAAGTGCTGTGTAGATAGTGTTCTAGCAATTTAGCTTTCAGTATTTTTAAAATGGGGGCTAGGAATGTTGCCACGAATTTTGCACCCACTTCCCAATTTGATGGGATGTCGTTTGACATGGGGTGTTATCTCATGATCCAGGTGTCACGTCTGCATTGGTTTTCTTTGTGCCACAATATGTGTCAGAAACTGCCTTCAAAAAATTTAGGCTACTGGTCTGTCTAGTCTGGTCCACTTGTCACAGACTGGCAGTAGCACCTAAGGTTTCAGACAGATTTTCTCAGCCCTCCCATCAGATGCAAGGGATCATCTGCATGCAAAGGCCACAAACCACCACCAACTTATGGCTCTTCCTGTTATCTTTCATGCAGTATTGTTCTTCCCCTCCCCTGGCAATTTATGTTTTGGTGCTAAACTAATAGGAGATTTGTTCAGGGCCATCTAGTATCTGGGATTGCAAAACTGGGATTAGATGAAGAGGAGAAAGCCAAGTGCTCTAGTTTGATGAGCTTTCATCAAATGTAACTAAATGCTGGCAAAGCAGAGTTGGATGATGAAAGCTATTTTTACACTAGAACTAGGATTTTATTTTTGTGGATTTCTCCTGTTTAGACAGCTTATTTCTATTACTAATTCCCTTGGCTTTCTTTCAAATCCTTAGGTCTCCAATGGTATGTCTGTTTCTTGTTTCAGAAAGCTGTTTATCCACGATTTGCTTTTTTAGAATGGTATCAGTAAATAAATGCTAGACTGGTTTTTTTAAAAAATCTTATTGGGCTGGCACATTTTAGTACCCTTGTTGAGCAGTGCTGTAAGGAAAAGTAATGGTGCTGGCGGCAGCAGAAAACCACCTCTTCCTGTCCTGTGCTAATTTTGTTTATCCTTTAAAGGTTGAAGTAGTGTTCTTAAAATGTTTGAATATTTGTGAGAACATTGTGAGTCAATCTAAAATAAGTCAGGGATTAATGTCGGATTGTGGGAATCCTCCTACGAACTTAGTTTAAAAGAGTGTAGATAAATCAGCTTTGAACAACTGCTTAGTACCATTGTTCTGTGAACAAAAATATCACTATTTAAGTGATCTTGAGAATTCTCACTTAAAGAGTCAAGTGGAGATTCTGATTAAATTAGAACAATGAGCATGGTAGCTGAGGATGTGTAAAGAAATGTTTTTGTAAGTGATACCTTGAGAAGTGAAAACTGACATTAACATGAAGTTCATTTACCCCCTTGGGCTCTCCTAATTTGAAGCTACTCTCTCCTATCAGTTTTCAAAAAAATCTGAGAAATGCCAAAGTATTTATTTTATTTTATTTCTAGAATTCGCTTTATATCCATATTTCTCCTTTAGGATGGTCTTCTCACATATATAAAGTGTTCTGTGTAGTTAAATTAATAATTGTCATGTAAAATCTTGGTGGGGTTAGCAGAGGGATTTATAGTTTTCTTTTAGGCTGTTCAAAGTTAGCCATGGGAGAAAACATAATGTCAT